AATTCTCATTGGCCAATAACACTATTGAACCTGGACAAAAAGTTTTACTACTCGAAGTAGCACCCATTTAAGGTAAAAGAGAACTCCCCCGTGAGTGGTATGAGTTGTCGGGCAAGGTTGGGATCGTTGGAAGAGGAGGGGTGGGGAGGGGAGGGGGAGTGGTAGAAGGGGGAGGGATAGGTAGCACGGGGGCTACTTTTTTCGAGGGTTAAAAGCGTTACATCGACGGAGGATGGGTAGAAACCAGGAGCCTGGTGGCGTACCGATAAGAAAGTATAAAGGCTGCTTGCTCTAATGGCCGGTCCGGCTTAAGTCCAGCCCCTGTTACCACGATAAACGATAATAATATCTATTATTGGTAAGCCGAAGAGATAAATGATCTCACTCGAAGCACTCGGACTTAGAGCGTAACTTTCCTTTGCTTTGGCCACGCCGGTCGAGTTACTCTCGTCCACGAGTTGTGATACGATCGGCTTTGGTGTTCTCTTCTTCCGTCCCTCCCTACCTCCCTCCGATCTCTTCCTTCCACCCCCTCTCTCTCTCTCTCTCTCTCTCTCTCTCTCTCTGGAGAATTCAGTTCGAGGACACGTTAACCTTCTCCTTTTTTCTTCCTTCGTTCTCTCTTTCTACTTCTTCCCTTTTCTTCTTATTCCTATTTTATTTTTATTCTTCTACGATCGAGGTACAATTATCTAAACCCTTTTCGACAAAACATAGGAAGAACCAAACGGCAATTAGATAGGACTCGATGTGTAAACGCTTTTTGCAAGGGCCAACGGGGAAAGACACATTGAAAGATTCTGTGCCACGTTAACTCTTTCCACACTCGTTTTACTTCCCCTCCTTATGTTTATATATATATATATATATATATATATATATATATATTTCTTTTCTTCTTTTACCACCTTATCTGACCGCGCGCAGCAATTATCCCGGACTCTTTGAACTCCCTTAGCCACGCCGGGATTTAATGAGTACCGCCTATAATACCGTCCGTCGAGATGCCGATACATAAAAGCTATAAATCTGTTCGTCGCCTACCTCCTTTTCCTTCCTTCCTTCCTTCCTTCTCTTTATCTCTCTGTATCTCTCTCTGTTTCTCTCTCTCGCTCTCTCTCTCTCTCTTTCTCTTTCTCTACACCTCTCTTTTCGACTTCGATCAAAGAGAATCATAGGAGTATAGAGGGTGACTGAATTCAAGGTCAAGAGAGGGAAGAACAGTCGATTAACAAGCAAGAAATTCTTGCCGATCCTTTTATCGGAACGACGATAGAACGCTTTTTAGCAGCGAGCTGCCTTAAGACTCGTCATTCCTGCAAAGAGAAGGGAAAGAAGGAATTGCGGAACGTGGAGGAAGAAGAAGAAGAAAGAGGAGGAGGAGGAGGAGAAGAAGAAGAAGAAGAAGAAGAAGAAGGTAGACGAGACTAACGGTACCGATCTCCAACGAGTCTTTATTTATTTCTTTCTTTCTCTCTCTCTCTCTCTCTCTCTCTCTTTTTCTTTCTTTCTCTCTCTTTCTCTTCCCTTCTCCGGCAGCTCGCTTCACTCGCAACACTTATTCCAGGCGCCCTGATTTCCTGACCCACTGCCAACGGCGCTGTCGTTCGCTAGAGAGCTCGGGCGCGCGTGTTCGCGAGCGCACGCGTCATCGTATCCCTCCATCTTCGTTCGTCGTTCGTCGTTCGTCGTTCCTCTTCCTCGTCTTATTTCTCTTTTCCGTCGTCTTCGTCTACCTCTAATTCAATTACTGCCTTTCACGATCTCCCGTCCGTCAATTTTACTTGTCCGGTACAGAGAGTACCGTGCTTCGTTCATTTAACCAAGCGGTACCAGAGACAGAACCATGGTATTCATTACCGTGTAAACGTCCACCCGTGAAAAGAACGTTGCTTACTCTGTGGTTCACCTCTCTCTCTCTCTCTCTCTCTCTCTCTTGCTTTCTTTCTTTCTTCTCTTTTTTTCTTCCTCTCACTGACACAACGCTCATTTCCGCTCCACGGCTATCTAGATAATACCATACATATCGTTGATTTTTCCCCGATATATATTATAAACTTTATACATAACTTTTCCCATTTACCTAAATCTACTTATATAAATAATTAATTTGTATAAATAAATCGTAATAGAACTGTAGTGGAAGATGAAAGGAAAGAGAAAAAAAGATTTTAATTGGATCGGGTCTTATACTACTGTGAAAGAAAAGTTTCACAAAGAAAGTAATTGTAAGATGGAGGAAGGAAATGAAATAAAAAAAAAAAAAAAAAAAAAAAAAAATAAAGAAAATGAAAAAGAAAAAAAAAAGAACAAAGAAAAAGGTGAAAAGAAAATTAATATAAAAAAAAAAGAAAGGAAAAGAACGAAAGAAAGAAAGAAAGAAAGAAAGAAAGAAAGAATTAATCGATCCGGCACTAATCAAAGTACAATGGACCGAATCCTGTAGCGAAGTGGAAAGTTTTCTACGTTGGGCCGAAGCGTGCCGCATCGTAGAATCTCGAATGCGAGCGACGTCCGGTGCCATTCCGTGGTCTGCCGCTAAAAGTAGAGAAACTGCGGAATTTTCGCACTATTCCTCGCTCCGAAAACCGTCGACGGAAACGAACGCTAGCTCCTGTCCGCCATCCGTGACAAGCTTTTGTGCGGATCTTTGTTCTCTCTCCTATCCCTTTCTCTCTTACTCTCTATCTATCTATCTATATATCTTTATCTATCTATCTATCTATCTATCTATCTATCTATCTATCTATATATATATATATCCTTTTCTTACGCTCCTTCAATCGCTATCTCTTCCTCTCTTTTTACGTTCCCTTTTGTCTCTCATCCCTCTATCTCTGCCCAACGTGGCAAAACTTTCAGCTTTAAAGTCGGAACTTTCTCGCGGGGAATTCAGTAAAAGCTGCTTTACCACCTCTCGCGCGTGTTTTACACTTTGAGGATTACTTCCCTTTCCTCCTCTTCCAAAAAGTACTTCCGCTTGGCCAAAAGACTTCGAGAAAATACGAACGCGATGTCACCTCGCGACGAATGAATGAACGAACGAACGAACGAACGAACGAACAAATGAAAGAACGAAAGAACACCGATATCCTTTATATAAGTAAAAAAAAAAAAAAAAAAAAAAAAAAAAAAAAAAAAAAAAAAAAAAAAAAAAAAAAAAAAAAAAAAGAAAAAAAGCTCTGTCTTCCTTTATTCTATTTACTCTTGATTCGTTTTTTCTTTTTGTTTTTTCTTTCTTTTCCCCCACGATCTTTTATTTTCCTTGTTTTTATTTCATTCAAGAATAACATTCGTATTTTATCAAGGGTGGGGTAGGGGGGAGGAAAAAAAAGGAAAAACGTAATTTTCTCGATAATTTTGATAAAGGGATATATTGTATTTATCTGTCAGAAATTTAGTTATAAAAATACAATAGAAATTTAACGTCAGGATAAAAGTGTCGAAGTGGTTATGGCCTTTTTTCTTCTTTTCTATCTATTTTTTTTTTTTTTTTTTTTTTAATCGTCGACACTACCTCTTCTTGAAACATGTTTTTACTATTTTCACCGAGCGATAACCACGCCTTATATTTGCTTGTACAAATTTTTATTATGGTAAGGCGATCGTAAAAATAGTAAGAAAACGACGCTCGGATATGTGTTGAAGTAGTCGTATAAAAGAACGAGTGACAAATTCAAGGCACTTTACTACGCACGATATTCGCCAAGTTCAGCTTTGTCAACGCAACCGTAAAACCACCCAACGTCTATCCACAAAACATTTCTATCTTTTCTCTTGTGAGAGAAAGAGAGAGAGAAAGAGAAAAAGAGAGGGGGGGAGAGAGAGAGAGAGACAGAGAGGGAGAAAGAAAGAAAGAGAGGGAGAGAGAGGATGAGTCACAAGAACGAAAAAGAATCATAAAAAGAAAGCCAAGGGAATATGGTAGAGGGAACGCAGGTTATTTATTCTATCATATTGTAGATTATTATAAATATATATAGATATTTTGTTTCTTCTAAGTTCATCATCTCTATTTCTAGCTTTATGCATTCACATATTTTTTTTTTTTTTTTTCTTTCGTTTAGACCTTCATAGCCACGTGGTGTCCCATATGCGATAAACGTGTGAGCGATAAAGGAAAAGACACCGAACGACTTTTAGGACACGTTCGAAGGAATCATCGAAAAATCTCTATTCAGAGATTGAATAATCACGTAAATATCGATGATATTTCTCTCTCTCTCTCTCTCTCTCTCTCTCTCTCTCTCTCTTTCTCTCTTTTTCTCTCTATAAATATATAAATATATTTCAACGATTAAGAATTTCTTATAATAATTTATTTTTCCTTTTATCTCTTTCTTACTTCATTTTATTTTATTTAATTTTTTTTTCTTTTTCTTTTTCTTTTTTGAACAAACGAATAACACTCGCAAAGAAACGTTTTGTATCTATAGTACATAAGAGTAGTATGCGATTGCCCTTAACGCTTGTTTCTTTATCTCTATGTGTTCCACCTTCAACCCCTTTGCTCTTATCACCCGTGCTACATTCTTGAACCGTGACTCGTGTCTCTTTTACCTCGTGAAAGGTATAAAGTCTTGAAATGGACGCAAAAGGAGAACCCTCCTCCAGTTTCTTCCCTCTCATAAAATGTCGAACGAATGCCGAGCGTGAAAAGAATTCCAAGGCATCGTCGCGGGAAATCGATCTTTATGATGCATTCACGTAAAGGCCCGTTTCAAATGGGAATATTCGTTTACTCGTACGATAGATACAAGATGTTTTATAATGCGTTTCAATCTCAAACGATCATACATATATATATATATATATATATATATATATATATATATATATATGATTTCATTAGATAGGACATTTTTTTATTGATCCATTTTTTTTTATTTTATTATTATTATTATTATTATTATTATTATTATTATTATTATTATTATTATTATTATTATTATTATTATTATTATTATTATTATCTTTTTCGTAGGAAAACGGTGAACAAATATTGGAAAGGAAACAATCAAAAGGCACAGGACAAGCAAAGCTTTCTAATACGAAGGAAAAAGATAGAAAGAGAATCTACACGACCCGTGGTATATCTACACGTATATCTACACGATGTAGAAACATTTTTAAGAAGATTCTTTGATCTTCGTAATTTGTTTTTCCTTTTTTTTTTTTGCTTTTTTTTTGCTTTTTTTTTGTTTCGTCTCGTTTTGTTTTCTTTTTTAGTGGATACATGGAAGTCGCACGACGAGAAAAAAATCTGTCCTCAATGCAGAAAGGAACTCGTACCGGCATTGCATACTCGCAGACACAATTTGACAACATCTCATATTGCAGCGACATGTCTTCTGGGGTAATTAGTATATCGATTGACGATTTAACAATCGTTTGGTAGCTTTTTTCTTTTTTTTTTTTTTTGTTTTTTTTTTTCTTTTTATTTTTCTTTCGTAGCCATCTCCGAAAAATTCCATTTCCATATAATTTTCTTTTTCTTTCTTTTTTTCTTTTCTTTCGAAATTTGTTCCTTCTTTTCTTTTCTTTTCTTTTCTTTTTTTTTTTCTACCTTAACTAACGATTGTGAAAAGAAGTAAAGATAGGAAGGGTTTAAGCATTTAAAAGCAGAGCACGATAAAACGAAAGAGGGACACGCCTCTCAGAGTTTTTGGTCAGTGCACGGATCCAACGATTAATTTTCCGCGCACTCCGCGAGCGTCCCCGGCGGGAGAGAGATTAATGACAAGCCCGGGTTCACGAACTTAAGCTCCAACTTGTCAGTTTTAGTCCTGACAATCGTCCGACCCTTTTAGGCAAAGCTTTGGAAAAGCGCCATTGATTCTCTCGTAATTAATGATTTTTCCAATCGAACTGTATACAGAGTATCTAGAGTCACGAGCAAGTAATTTATAGACATCGAATGAGTAAATTAGAAAGCTAAATCGATCGTATTAATTCCCTAATACGTTTTCTCTTACGATTCATGATGATTTACAATTTTGATATATATGTATATATAAAAAAAAAAAAAAAAAAAAATAGAGAAAGAAAAGAGAGAGAGAGAGAGAGAGAGAGAGAGAGAGAGAAAAGAGAGAGAGGGAGAAAAAAAAAGAAAAATACTGTCCTTTGCGACAGATGTTGGCCATTTTGTTTTATACCGTTAATGAAACGCACGAAGAAGATTCGCATGATCTGTCCGGCCTGTGGATACGTTTACGGGACTTACGAGTATAAAAATAACGGCCTGGCTCCCTGTCAACCGGATTCCAAGAACTCGCAAGTTCGACTTCCATCTTCGTCCACGAGCTTTCGCGAAAAGGCTATAAGAGAAGAGTCCTTCTTTCGAGATTAAATCATCATCGTTCTATACATACACATATACATATATATGTATATGTATATATATATATATATATATATATATATATATCTTTTGATTTTTTTCTAATAAAATATTTACAATGATTGCAGATCTTCTAGAAATGAATTCAACACGTACCAACGTATATCGTCATTAATTATTTTAAAATAAAAAAATGACTGAGGTAAAGATTTACGAAACGGTTCCTTAAACATTTTAGAAAAGTTTTATTGCGCTTTTAACGAGGATAAATAAATTCTTTTTAAAATTAAACCCGACGTAATCCGAACGCACGAGAAGCCACGTTAATAATTATCAACGGAGACGCTCGAGATAATAATTACGGCTAATCTCGTCGTCCTGAGAAGTGAACGGCGCTTTAATGACGCCAAGGATAAATTTATGATTTTAGAAAGCGCACTTTTATATACCACAGAAAGTAGAACGCGATCGGTCTGAAAATGCAGTCAAGGAGCGCTCTTGGATCTCCGGAAAGAAGTTATCATCAAGAAAGATTTGGCCTTTTGGAAATAGTAAACGAAAAAGGAGCGTTTTCTCGACTAGAGGTTAGTCTATCCTAGTAGATCTTTTATTTATGATTTCTACACATCTTTTTTTTTTTTTTTTTTTTTATTTTTTGAATAAAAAGAAACGAGAAAGACCATTGCAAAGAATTCATATAATAATTTTTTTTTTTTATCGAGATATTCTTTGATCTTATCAATAAATTACAATCAAATATCCTACGATATATACGTTCAATACTTTCAAATGATATTTATTTTATTGAACAGTGGAAACTTGGAAATATCATGACAAGAGTTTATTATGTCCGGTGTGTAACGAGGATGCTCTACCTATAGTTTTCACAAAGAGACACATGTTTTCGAGCTCGAGACTTGGTGCTACTTGCTTGTTAGGGTTAGTTATCTTTCTCTCTCTCTCTCTCTCTCTCTCTCTCTCTCTCTCTTCCTCTCTTTTATTTGTTCAATTAAATTATCAATGAAACTTATCTGGTCAAATAAAGCATCGAGTGGAACATCTAGTTATAATCATAAATAGCCAAGGTAATAGGCAAATATGTCGAACATTTATCTCCGATAAATTTGAAATCGATTGGAAGATATAAGTCGATAACGGTTAATAGATTTTATACCGGATCATTTCTATCGTAGTGTTTCGATGAGAACGAATTTCATAATGGAAAATCATTAACGAAAATAGGCTGGTTGCATTCGTGTATCCTTCAATGAAACAATGCCGCACCCGTTATAACCATTCGCGCTTTTCAGATGTTGGCCATTGTGTTTCGTACCTCTGATGTTGAGTCGAGAGAGACAAGTGAGACTGGTATGTCCGCTCTGCGGACATAATTACGGAAATTACGCACAGGCGGAAAATAAAAGCGATGACCCGTGGTATCCTCGTCGTGGACAGCGACGATTAGTCGAAATTACGAGCTCAAAGTTGGACCCTACCAATGAACAGGGACATGAACTTAATCCAAACTCGGAATTGGCTGTTTTAGCTTATCAAGGATTATGGGAGGTAGAGAGGGAGAAACAATTTTTCTTCATTACTTAACTGTACTTGAAAACTTTTATATTATTTTTCTTTTCTCTTTTCTTCTTTTTTTTTTCTTTTTTTTTTATATTTTATTTTTCTTCTCTTTCTTTCTTTCTCTCTTTATCTTTCTTTATCGTTTTAAACTTATCCCTCGTAGTAGTAACCAAAGTCAAACTGGGTCCTTTTCAACAAACTCGAAACAAAATTTCTGTTAGCCGTTAAAGAAAAAGGATTAACTTTATCGTCGTCTTGTACTTCACTCGAGAACGTTTAACGATTCGAAACAGGTGCGGGATGCTTCTGAACAAACAGAGAACGCCAAAAAGAGAATAGATAAGGAAGAAGAGGACGAAGACGAAGAAGAAGAGGAAGGAGGAATCGAAAGAGGAGGAGGTGCAAGTGTTACGAAAGTTTTACGGTATCCTAACGGAGAGACAATGTTCGAATCTTCGAAAGGTTGCACCCTTTGTTCGAGGCAGGTCACGGCAGATCGTTTCTATAAGACACATTCCGATGAGTTTGACCTGAATTACGATTCTGATTGGTCCGTGCGTAATCGTTATCGCGTTCCACGAAATACTCGTCTGTACGATACGTCCTTTGAGGATTAAATATATATATATATATAAAAAAAAAAAAAAAAAAAAAAAGAAAAATAGCTTTAAGAACTCATTATAATATTTATTCTAAGTGAAAAACGATGATAATAATCTTGTACGAAATAATCGTTCCGGTTTCAAGGGATTTCTTCATTTGATTTCGCACAAGAGAGAGAGAGAGAGAGAAAGAGAAAGAAGAAAAAGAAACTCGAAATGTAAGCGATACATTTATACCGATATATCGATTCCTTAACGATCCGTTGTTTCGTACAAATACGATATTCTCTCGTGAATCAATCTCGAGAAACAACTAAATCTTCGATAGTTTCAAAACGTGCTGTAACTTAAATGAGGTAGTACGTACTCCCTACTTGTTCAAGTAGTTTTCCTTAAATACTCTCGAACGTTTTACTGATTTTCACGAATTTTTTTTTCCTTACGGACGAATAGCCCCTTACCGCAAGATAGTTCGTTGTTTAAGATTTAACTTTCGCTCGTGTCGTCTTAACAAAGAAAAAGATATAAAAGAGAATGAATCAAAAGAGCAAACGTGAAATATTGAGACAAAGAGAGAAACGATAGATTATACGTGAAAGTTACAACAAGATGATTAACGTTTGGCCATTCATATAACGTTATTAATATAGAGTACCAAAGTGAAAGAGGAAGATGGGTACACTCCATATTCAAAGTCGGAACGAATTGAATCGAACTTTTGGAAGTTCCATTGTTAACAGCTATAACTAAGAGGATTCTATGGTTTAACAATGGGCCAAAGAACAAGGAGGACCTAGAATGGCAACGTAATTCGTCTTTGCTACGCGAAACTTCAAGATAGCTTACTCTAACGAGTGTGGTATACCGTTCTTAAAGAAGTTCCCAGATACGCTTATCTAAACAGTTGGGTTATACACTCTGGGAGATCGTAAATTATGCGTTATAAGATTTGTGTTAAGCGAAACGTATCGCGTCGTTGACTTTTGCGTATTTTTTTCAGAAGAAGAAAAAGAAAAAAGAAGAAGAAAAAGAAGAAGAAGAAGAAGAGGAAGAAAAAAGAAAAAGAAAAAAACAAAAAGAGGAAGGACGAAGATGAAGAAACAGGAGCAATGTTATCTAATTTTCTCTATCTCTCTTTCGATCACTTATTTTCTGTTCTCGATATACAAGCAAGGAAGGGTCATCTCCGGCGGGAGTCGGCTTCTCGTTGTCATCGGATGCCAGTCGCACGTTCGCGAAATCCAATCGGTCGAGCGAGTAGGAAATCGAGAAAGAAAGAGAGAAAGAAAGAGAGAGAGAAAAAGAGAGAGAGAGAGAGAGAGAGAGAGAGAGAGAGAGTGAGTGAGAAAGAAAGAGGAAGGGGAAGGAGAGTTCACGTTGCTCTCTTTTCAAGTTTTTCTCGAGTGGAATGACACAGAGAGAAACGTCTCGAAGCTGGCACGTAACGGGCATAAAGCGATCAAACCAATCTCGACCGTGATCTTACCGTTGGGTAAGAATCGATAGGGTGGACAATATGTGTGTCTATATGTATGTATGTATGTATGTATGTATGTATGTATGTATGTATGTACGTACATACCTATACATATACATCAATATGTATCTGACCATTCGAGAATAATTCGATAATTTGATTTTCTTTTTTGTCGAAGCAAAAAAAAGAAAAAAAAGAAAAAAGAGAGAGAGAGAGAGAGAGAGAGAGAATGAGAGAGAAAAATAATGGGACAAAATATCAAGAGTATCAAAATTAATTCGATCTATTATATAGATTTTCCCTATATAAAATGATTTCAATGATTTCGCTACGTGATCTCACGATAGCTAACAACACACAATTGGAAATAAAAGAGAAGAATAATAATTGACTGAATTAAATCCTTAACGGATCAGCGAATTGGTGCACTCTTCATCAACGTCCGAGTCACGATGTATTCCGACAAATGTAGCAGTACTCGTTCCGTAAACTAACCGTGGGAATCGATAAGAGTAAATGCTATAAAGTACCATGTAGAAAGAGGAAGTATAGGAAGAAAGGAAGAGAACGATACTTGTCTATGAACGTGAAGATGCTTAGAATCGATCGCTCCAAAGTGTAATACAATGGGAGAGGAGAGTTCAAGCTTTTCTATCATTTTTTCTTCCTGTTTTCTTGTTTTTTTTTTTCTTTTTTTTTTCTTCTAGTTTTCATTTTTTTCTCTCTCTTTTCCTCTTTTATTCTTTTCCTTTTTTAAGTGATCACGAAAACGCGGTGCGAGAATTCGTAAGAAAGCCTTTACAATTAGCATTGCTAACTATCTCCCCACTATTACTGTATCCTCACTCTATTTCCTCCTCCTCCTCTTCCTCCTCCTCCTTCTTCTTCACCTTCTTCTTCTTCTTCTTCTTCTTCTTCTTCTCTTCCTTCTCCTTCTCTTTAGACACATTTCTCTATGAACGATTCCTTCCTCTTTCTCTCTCTCTCTCTCTCTCTCTCTCTCTCTCTCTCTCTCTCTCTCTTTCTAACTATCTCTCCTAACTCTTTCAAAGAGTTTCTTCCTCGTTTTCCCTCGTCGATGTTATCCTTCGGTAACAGTGTCTCCCTTTTTCTACCTTACCTTGCCAGTTGTTCTCGCACGCTTCGCTGCCCACGGAACAAGAGTCCGCGGCTTCATCGAGTCTTCTCTACCGGCTTGTACTGTTAACCACATAGGGTCAACCTTCGACGTTCCGTAATCGATGCTCTTGTTAGTCGTGTTATACGGACACCTACGATACGCTAATCCCTAAAGGTGCTACGGGCGCGAATCTACCAAGATATTGGATCGTATATCCCATCGAATCGAGATAACGCTTAGATTTATCTCGATAGTAATATTTCTATCCGTTTATATTTTTCATTCTATATCGTGCGAGGATATACTGTTTTCGTCAAAGGAGAAAACAAAAATAAAAGAAAAAAAAAAAAAATAAATAAATAAATAAAACAAAGGAAAAAAAGAAAGAAATACTATAGAAATGTATCATAAACAAAGGACAAATTTTCGTTCTCGTCGTATAAAGGGAACAAGTTTCTTTTAGATATTTTTATATGAATTCGAAGAAAAGAAATTGCCTTATATTATTATAGTTCACGATCATATCTCTCTACTCTTATCTTATCTTATCTTATCTTATCTTATCTTATCTTTTCTTTTCCTTTCTTTTCTTTTCTTATTGTATTAACTCTTCTTGCAAAATTTGTATATCGAAGCCAAAGTTCTCAGGGAAAGATTTAACTGGCGGACTTTAAACTGTGTCTAACGCGTAATCCGTCTGAAACACATAACAGAACTGGTAGGAGGGCGATTTAAGGTGTGGGTAAAGTTATGAATAAGCTTTCACCTAGTAGAGCTCTACTACATATATACATATATATACATATATATATATATGTGGATATATTGTACGGTCCGGAAGGAATTAGCCGAGAGTAATTCTCGGTTGAGTCGCGAAAACGTAGTCATGACATACATTGGCTATGCTTGTACCCGTTTATACATATATATATATATGTGTGTGTGTGTGTGTATGTGTGAAGACCGTAGACACTCCGTAAACGTGTAAAACGTTTAATAAAGATCGCATTATGAATGAAGTGAACAAATTTTATGATTAATTTTAAAGTTTTGCTTTTGATTTTCGTAAAAAAAAGAAAATATGTATATATATATATATATATAATAAATAAATAAATACATAAATAAGTAAATAAATAAATTAATAAATTATAAAATGTTTTTAAATGGATCAATTGAAGTAAAATTGACGAAGTAATTTTTTATTTTGAAATTATGAAGACTTTTAGATCAGGGATGATCATTCCTTTTAACGCTATATTCCAAAGTGCAAACGGTGGTTCGCGATAATGCTATTAACGAGGCTCGTCGAAAAGGAGAGAATTCTCTTCGTCCCTCTCTCTCTCTCTCTCTCTCTCTCTCTCTCTCTCTCTCTCTCTCTCTCTCTCTCTCTCTCTCTCTCTCTCTCTCTGGCTGGGTCTAATCTTAACGACGATAATGAGTCAACTCCGGTTTAATTAAGACCAGAACAGACACCTAGGTATACAATCTTTCTCTTCGTCTCTGTCTGCACCGTCACTTAAACGTTCTTCTTGCAACTTATTCGCTCATACAATTACTAAGCGGTACTTAGAATATTTACAGAGTAAAGATTAATTAATCCTTCTTGAATATTCCCTGAATGCGAGTAAATATATGAACGTTTAAGATCATTGGATGGAAATATTTTGAAAGAAAATAATAGAAAAAAAAGACAAAGAAAGAGAGAGAGAGAGAGAGATAGAGATAGAGAGAGAACAAAATTACGAAATTTCGTTAAAAAATCTATTTTATAATTCGATGAGAGTAGAATTGTGACGTGGAAAATAATAGGGGAAGAAACGAAAAAAAGAGAGAGAGAGAGAAGAAATTGAAGCGTTTAGACTACTTAGAAATTTTCTTTCGGGTTATAATAGATCGCGTGCACGGTATTCATTTTATTAATAAATAATAGCTTTAGTGCGATACTTTGGAAAAAGTTTGGACGTCTAAGCGCTTATCGTATACACGCGATATCAGCCTTCTTAATGTCCATGGTTAACCGTGGATAAACTTCCTCAACGGTAAACTTATAATCAGTTTGCCGATAAACGTAGACGAAACGAAGACGTGTAACTTAAAACTTTCCATGGGGTTTTATGCTTTATGCGAAGGAAAAATTGAACGGAGAAAAAAGAGAGAGAGAGAGAAGGAAAAAGAAAGACAGAAAGAAGATTACAAAGAAAAACAAAACAAAAAAG